AATGCTTAAACAGGTCTCTTAGAGTTTCTGTATATTGGTGTTCAGGCTTTTCTTCTGGTTTAGACATATTTATTAACACTGCATATGATAAGTATTTCTTTCACCTTTGAGTATTTTTTTAATATTAGGCAGCCTTAATGTCAAATACTTTGATAGAAAATCAGATCTGTTTGACCCTGAGGTAAGCAGGCAAATGTGGAACCATTTTGTTGCGGAGAACTCATTACATCTTTAGTATTTGTCAGTTTCAAATAATTTTGTTCTGAAGTTTCTAGAGGAAATAAATGTCCCTGCAGAAATAGGGAAATAAAAAAGCATCATACCATAGTGGAAGAACATCCTTCCATGAAATAGAAGATACAATGCTTAAATTAGCTTTCTGTTATGCTGTGTGCATGTTATTTATGCTACAGCTTAATTGTAACAAAGTAGAAGACTCTAATGTCTTGGAGTGAGATGCAGTTTTCATCCAGGTATTTTTAGACTCTAGTTTTGGATGTTTTTCAGTCAAATGAAAACATAGGTGATTGGCACAATGGTATTTCAGATTTCCTGGACTATACTGCTCTTGGTAGATAAGTAGAAAGGTGTTAAATAAAACTGTTACATGTTCCCTTGGATTATTTTTTTTTCCTCCCTCCAACAGCTTAAGCATCAATACTTATTTCTCACAAATTTTCAAGACTAATTCTCCTAACTCATTGGTTCTGTTTAGAGTAGAAAGAAGTATTTATCTGTGGCCATTTCTTGTGATGAACTAATTTGGTCAGTTTGTACAAAAGCACAGTCAAAGTACCATCTCTCTGTGTCTTTTCTTACCCTTTTTCCTTCTTGGAAGTAGCTGTTAGTTAAGGTGAAGGGTCACTCCATCAGACTTGTGGCAACATTTGCAGCTGGCTTCAGGCCGGTTCTGCCTCTCTGGATTGCTAAAACAGCCTTTTGACTTGTCAGAGTATGTATTAGTTCAGCCATTGCACAGTAACAAACAAATATCTGGCTCCATGGCAAGGACAATAAAAGTATTTGCCCCCTTTGCATTCCTCCTCCAAATGTTAGAAGATACAGAATGGACAATGCTTCTTGCTTTGATAAATTAAATAGCCTGCACTCTGATGTATTTAGCCTTTCTATTTCACTGAAACAGATTGTTAGGATAGCTTTAGAACACTCCAGATGTAGTAGTTACTTTATACAATTACCATGTTTATGTTACAATGTATATGTGAACTTAGTGGGGATATTTCCATTCCAATTTCTTAAATGCACCGTCAGGGAAACAGTCTCATGGTCTAACAAGGTTTCACTATGCTACTGAAATAATCATGACAGTTCCCATTCCAGCTGCCTTTCAGTCATATTGCCACTTCTTCACTAGGCCAACCCTAAGGGGAAAACCAATATAGCCAGGGATAAAGTATTTGAACAGCAATTGTGAAAACTTGGTAGCTTCTTTTTGTTAGTGACTGAGACTTGGTTGAAGTTTGGCTTCTTTTTCCTCTGCTGCTTTGTGTAAATGGCTTTGAGACAACAAATGAGAAGTGCTTATACTTTTAATAAGTACTACTACCAGTAAAGTTCTGGAGCCTATTGAAATAAATATTCTTTGGGACTTTGAATGATATGTGATATGAAAGAACAAGGACAAAATATAAGGTGAAGATTTCCTGAACACCTACATTTTTAGTACCTATGACTATAGGGGAAGGTTTTCCTTTAAATAAAATACTGCTTCTAATATAATGCAATTCTTTCTTGCAATTTAGCTTTCATAACTAAATGTGTAAAAATCATGTCCTAATATTAAGGTGTGTTTGGTGACTTATTCTTTCAATATCACAGGATTATTACACTATCATAAAAAAACCTATGGACTTAGGCACCATAAAAAAGCGACTGGAACACAATTACTACACAAAAGCTGCAGAATGTATTGAAGACTTTAAAACTATGTTCTGGAACTGCTACATGTACAACAAGGTATGTGGAACACCAACTCTTACCAGTAACTGGTTCTATTGAATGATACAAGCAAGTCTAAAACAAGCACATTGTTACTAGAACACACAATAAGTTAGTTGACATTTCCATTATTTTTCTTTTAAACTAAGTTATCTGAAGTGTTGGGAAGGTTTTTTGGCTAGGATTGACTGAAGACACGTAAGTGAAGTCTTGCTTGCTGTTCTAACAACTGAGTGCATAGTTTTTTTCTGCACACGTCCAAAATCTCTGGGGTTTAGCTGCAGAGCTTGTGAACAGCAAGCACTATGTCATTGCTGTACAAGTCCAAGGCTAGCAACCCTGAGCCATGCTCTGTTCCTTCAACAAGTTCAACCTAATGAAGTGTGATCATCTCCCTTTGCTTGGATATTTGTTGGCTGTGTCTTAGTATCTTTGAGTATCTTCCACAGCTTCTTCAGAACACAGGGGTAACAAGGGAGTTGCAGATCTGCCCCCTTTGGCTTTTGCTGTAGCAGTATGCAGAGGTAAAGGAGAATTTTTCAATGGGACAGTGAGAGAAAGAGTATTTCAATGGTGAAGTAATTTGCTTTAAAGTGAGGGGCAAGGTTGGCAATGATTTCTAGACCTCTCTGGCACTGGTGGCTTTTTTTTTAATCTGTTGAGGCAGGACTCTCTAGCCTGGTTGTTTAATGAGATAGCTCCCATTACTGCAGCCTCTCCTTCACTGAATGGTATTGACCATATTTTGCAGCCAGGTGATGACATTGTGTTTATGGCTGAAGAACTAGAAAAAGTGTTTATGCAGAAAATAGCCCGTATGCCGCCAGAAGAAAGACCAGTGAGTCTCAATAAAGGCAAGAGAAAAGGAAAGAAGACAGAAGGTAAGGCCTGTATTATATGCTGAGTTTATAATATATTAAGCAAGCAAAACTGGAAACAGGAAATCTTCTTTGTCATAACTCGACCCTGGAACATATTGGATGTTCTCTACTCTTTCCAAACTAATCAGATAAATAACAATAGTGCTCTAAAGCTTTAGAAAATTTTCTTTAAAAACTTAAACAGTTCCTTTTTTAACAAAAGGAACTGACTTCCAATTCAGAGACCGTCATGCTGCTCAGCATTGTGTTATACAAATGAATAGGTGTGAACATCTGTGGGAAGTAAACAGAGTAACAGCTGAAAAAGACATGAATAATGTAATCAGCCAAACCAAAGCCAGAAAAACATTAGTCTAAACTGTTTTCATATCTCAGTACTGGAGATCTGTAATATTGCTGAGCAATATATGCAGGTATTGACTGTGCTTAGGAAACATGGTGCAGTCTGCGCTCTTTGCTGCTTGGTCTTTATGTGTTTGTAGAAAACAACTTGATACTTTCCTTGGCAAGAACATTTTTACAGAGTGTAATATATATTACACTCTGTAATATATCATAATATATATACAATATATACAGAGTGTAGAATAATGCCTCTCTAATCTTTGGTCTGAAGTTAATCCATACTTTCTTGAGGCCAAATAAGGTGTAACTTGGCATGATATTCTAGCTGAAGCACTAATGATGTGAGTAGAGGAGGATATCAATGTTGCTGTAAGTAACAAATGCTCTTGTTTGCATTTATTTATGGCATTCCTCTATAGATATTGACAGCTGGTCAATTTGACCATGAAAGAAATTAACTGCAACATTTAAGACTTAACTTCTAAAATTTCCTGTATTAAAATAACCAGAAACATGGCAGCCCAGCTGTGGGATTTCAAATGAACAAAGCACAAATGAGAAGCAAGCTGAAAGCAGTGAGCAGCCTCCAGCAATGACTCAAGAGCAACAGCAGGCTACACTGGATCCTTTGTCTGCAGCTCAGCTGACTGCTTTAATGCCAGCTGCAGTCTCTATAACAAAAGTAAGTTTCCTCAAATGACTTTCAAAAATAAATATATAGAAATTGCTCCTTCAGGCACTTATGGCAAAACTGTAGAAGCCATGCTTACTGTTCTATGTTTTTGAAACTTTTGTTGTAATAGAAGATAGTAAGACATCTCTATTAAATCTTCCATGTCTTTACTAAATACCTGGGCCAGTATTAATTCTAGAAGCAAAACAGAAATTGAGATTATTGCTTGACACATCTTTTTTATAAATGTGATATTAAAATGTTGTTCTCAAAGAAAAAAAAATTAAGTTTAAGATGATCATTCTTTAAGTGTATTATTATATACACTTCTACAGGCTTCACCTTGAGGATAACTGTTTTTAAACTAAAATAAAGCTCTAAGATCTATTTAATAATTTCACATGGTTTTTATGTAAATCAAATTCTTGTTTCTTCAAAAATTAGCATGTTTGCTTACACACTAGCCTGGGAGCTTTTTGTAGCTCACAATGCAAATTCTTGTTACTTCAATCTGAGTTATATGTGAACATCTGAAAAACTCCTGTATTGATTTAGTTTTGGTTTTGCTCTTCCAATGAGGAATAGGCACTTTTACCAATCTCTCCTATAGTGTATATTTACACTTCACTCAGTCTAAACACTGATGACAAGGCATGCATTATATTGCTTCCAAACCAAATACTACACAAGTTAAACAGATAAACCATGTACATAAGGCCCTCAACCAGGCCTAGAATGAATTGCTGTAGTTTTCCCCTTTCCTGTGGCTGTCAACTTGCAGGTAATTTCATAACCTGCCAGCTTCCTGGAATCTTTACAAATGGTTAAAATCTGGCCACGGCCTGGCCTGCAGTACATCTACTTCTTTCCTCTACATCTAAGATGGAGCTTGGTGTTCTAGTCTGGTAATACCTTGTAGGTTTTTAGTCTAAGCTTTTGCAATTGTTATGTTCTGCTCTGTGTTCAATAGCTGTAAGAGTTCTGACACTTTTTTTTGGGCTACACACAAGAATAATCTAAAACTGAACATGTTCTTACTGTTCTAGACACTTGTATATTTTTTCTTTTCTTAGGCAAAAAGAGGTGTGAAAAGGAAGGCTGATACTACAACTCCAACTACTTCAATAGTCACAGCAAGTGGCAAATCTTCTGAAATGTTTAATGAAAGAAAAGCTGTTAAACCATGTAGAGGTGAAAATGAATGTACGGTAACAAACAAGCTTCTGAAGAGATCCTTTTCAGATTCTCAACAGCCACCTGGAATTATGAAAAAGATTCAGTTGTCAGGAAAATTAAAACATTGTAATGCAATACTTAAAGAACTGTTTTCAAAGAAACATGCAGCATATGCGTGGCCTTTCATAAAACCTGAAGATGTGGCATCTTTCTCCACTGGTGCGAACCAAGCCATTGCCAAATATCCTACAGACCTAGGAACCATTAAAGTAAGTATGTTTCTGGGGAAATTAGGCTATTTATGTAATTACAAGGTTTTAAATGTGTTAGCTGAAAAGGTATCATGAAAGCTGCTTCTCCTATGAAAGACAATAACAGGATGAGAAACTAGATACATTTGTTTCTCAAACTCAGCCAAGGTCACTGAAGAAAGTCTTCCGAGTCTCATTGTGACACCTAGTGGCTAATCTACCTAACTGCTGAAAATGCTAATGTAAGTAGTGAGGGAATTATGATTTCCATGAAGCTCTGCCAAGCGTGCCACATGTTAAATGTCTGTGTCTGTACACACAGTGCTGTTGTTAATGCCCTATAAACCAAAATGCAATTCTGTCAACTCCTGCTTTTCTCTCAGTCTCAATGTTCTTGGTGAAGTGCCCTAGGACTTCTACACTGGATGTTTACATGACACATTTCACCTTTTTAGTGGAAAACCATTCTAGATGGAGATATGTGGACAGCTCTCTGTGGATGCTGGGCGTATTTGTATGGGGTAAATGATTTAGCCCAGCTAAGCTCCACTTTTTGGGGAATGTTCAATTTTAACAGCTTACTGAATTATCTTGAAAGCTGGCTTGCACAATACAAAGGTTATTTCCCAGTTTCTTGTCCATTAGTTTGACTCCAGCTATTATGGCATAAGCTTTGTATAAGTATCATGCATAGAATCAAAAATAGATGCTGAATTCAGAATAAATAAAACCACACAAACATTTTTGTCTTGACCAAGTGCTGAAAATAGTACTACAAAGTCCTCCCAGCAATTACAATCTGTTTAAAAGAGGAAAAAAAAAAATCTTACTTTGTTAAAGAGACAATGTTGCTGAACCTGGTATGTTCAAAATATGTTAAAATTCTTGTTCCTCCTTTTTTTCTGCTAGTTCATGGTGATGCTGTCTACTAAGTGTGCCTTAATTTTCTTTTCCTCTAGAAGAAAATGGATAACTTTGAATATAATGATATACAAGAATTTGCTACAGATGTTAGATTAATGTTCATGAGCTGCTACAAACATAATTCTTCAGACCATGAAATAGTTGCTATGGCAAGAAAACTTCAGGTGAGTTATCTTTTAAGTCAGACTTGAAAAAATAGTTCATCTCATGCCCTGATGTAAAATCTACTAATATTACTGAACTACTGTGTTGCTGTGTAGTTCTACAAGTAGTAGCTGCATAACACTTTCAGAAATCTGAAAAACATGCTGTTTCCAAACCTAACTCTTCAGGATGTTTTTGAAATGCACTTTGCTAAAATTCCTGATGAACCTGTTGTGAGTGATCATCTGCCACAGCCTGTGAGAGAAGTGACAGAAGCTTATTCCAGTGAAAGCAGTAATGATAACTCTTCAGAAGAAAAATCATCTGAAGACTCTGAAGAGGAGAGAAAAGTGAACATCAAAAAGCTACAGGAGCAAGTAAGCATTAGTACTTAATGCATGTGACTTAAGATCTCTCTGGTAAGGCCACTTTCAATGGTCTATTCCAAGGCTTAGCAATAAAAATGAGTTTTTAAAAGATTCTAGTAACTTGTATTTTTAATACAAAACTTTATTCCCGTTTGGAAGCACTGCTAAATGTTAAGCGAATAGTGCCTGAACAAATACAAAGTGAGCAATATTTCTACTACTCTTGCCTACCACTTCTTTAGAGGACTCTCAAACTTCTTAAAAAAAGTGTGTTCCTGTGGTACGAGAGCCTCCAGGCACTCCACATGTAGCTCAGTGGCATATTCTTCCAACAGGGTCACTTCTTTCACATGGTCAAAAAGTATTGTTCTTGTCCTCAGCCTCTTTTGAGCCATACAAAAGCAAGTCATTAATTTCTTCTTCAGAAAACTCAGTATGAGAGAGAAAATAAGGTATCTCATGCTAACCAGTGAAGCAATCCATGCTTCATATTAGGAGTGGGGGATGAGTGGTGCTTCTGCTTGAACATAACTTTTTAACCTGTTGCTGCTGTATCGATCAACTCTGGGGAAAATTAGCAATTTTTTTCTGTTAGTCAAATAAGGGACAGTTTTCAGTCCTTGTCAGATTGGCATCATCAATTTATGAATGTAGGCAGAAGGACGAACACAAGTGTACAAGCCAACCTCTACAGTAGTGAGGTATTTCAGTGATTTCTAATCTCATCATCTGACCATCTCCTAATCCCTGAGGTTTAAACAAAGTTGTGTTAAACTCTTCTCTGAAATTTAGTATGTCTCAACTAGCCACTTTATATTGCAAAATAAGGTGCATGAGCCCAGTCCCACTTGCCTAATTCAGCAATGCTGTAGAAATATAACCTAATAAGGCATTTATGTGCATCCCAAATTCCTGAAATTAGAGAGGCTGCTGGAAACCACTACAGTGATTATCTTATTTTTTTTCTTTTGGCGGATGGTGGGGGGTATGTTTGTGTTTTCTTGACAAAATGCTAAAAGGCACATGCTGTTGGAAATGTGTGCATAAAATAAACAGTCTTACATCTTCTAGATGCATAATCTGTGACTAATATATAATAGAGTAAAATGTTTGGGAAAAAATCTCATTTGGAAAGCAGACATCCTATTAATACCCGCTCAGTTGCCATTAATTTCCTGTGGTATTTAGGACCAGTTTATTGTTACTTCTACATTGCCCAAGGTTATCAACATTGTGATTTTTTTTTTTTGTTTTTCTTTTTGTTTTTGATAGCTTAAAGTTCTTCATCAGCAGTTGTGGGTTTTGACCAAAGCATGCTTATCTAGACCAGAAAAGAAAAAAGGGAAGACTAAGAACAAGGAAAAAGCTGAAATAAAAAGCTTGATTCAAAAGAAGAAAAATCTGAAATACATTAAGAAATCTAAGAGAAAGCTGTCTTTAAACGTGTAAGTGTGGGGAACTAGTGTGGGTGTCAAATTCTTTTAAACTGCTCTTACTGCAGTATACTTTTTTCCTGCAGTCAATCAAAGAGAACCATGCAGCAGGTCTTGTTGGCACATAAGTCAGAAGATGAAAATGGTGCCAAACCTATGAATTATGATGAAAAGCGACAATTGAGTTTGGACATAAATAAACTCCCTGGAGATAAGCTTGGGAAAGTAGTCCATATAATACAGTCAAGAGAACCTGCACTGAGGAACTCTAACCCTGACGAGATAGAAATAGACTTTGAAACTTTAAATGCTTCAACACTCAGAGAACTGGAGAGATATGTAGCAACCTGTTTGAGGAAGACACAAAGAAAGCAGGGTATGTAGTATAAATGATATTTTAAAAAGCCCATTAGATTTGCTTTCTGGCTTGCTTTAATGTTAACTTCTGTTTCACATGCAGCTAAAAACCCAACAAAGTCAAAAGAAGAACTTGATTTTGAGAGGAAACAAGACTTGGAGAAGAGACTACTGGATGTCAAAGGTCAACTAAACCCAATGAAGGAGAGCTTCAAGAGTAATGTGGCTATTACTTTTACTCATTTGCAATGGAAATAGCTTAAAGTGGAATCCTTCCCTTGGGCTTTAGTCCTGTTAGGTATCTGGAGACCTCCTCCTCAGAATAGGTGGCATCTTAAGCTTCCCACTGCTAATCTCAAGATTCTTTCTGTGCTGAGTGAGCTGGAGTCACAGCAGCAAATTTGGTCAGTTATTTGTCCTGTCTAAAGCAGCTTCCTTATTCCTGCACTTAATACTCTACTACAGGTAAAGATGGTAACAGTTTCAGAAATTAAGGGACACTGAACAATTCCCTTATGCTGATATATGAATACCTGGTGGGATGTAGAGGGTCACACAACTTGTTTGCAATTCATTTTCTGTGGTTTAGAGATTCAAGAACAACCAATTCTAGTAATGCTTGTTACATGGCAGTGTCACTAATGCTGTCATGCTAACAGTATCAGTGACAGGTGTACTGTGTTAATCTTAGAGTGTCCTAAGAGAAAAATTCAGTTTTTCAGGCAATATGCATTTCAAGATCAAAGCCAGAAATTCAGTGCATACTTGAGCTGTACACTTACTGCAGTAAGTGTACATCTCATCAGGGGCTGAGAAAGGATCAATGCAGCTGATGCTGCTATTTTAAGTCAAGCTGTTCCTCACTGAAATAGTGCTGTTATTGCCCTCCACTGGATATCTTTTTAGCTCCTATGTAAAATCAGCTGAAATGACAGAAGCAGCTCTGGAAGACACAGGAACATTTGTATCCAGCATAAGCTCAGTCCAGTCTTCCTGTCTTGTATATATAATGGCTTGAAAATATCCTACAAAGGAAATCTTAAAGAAGCAGCTGAAATCAATTGTCAACTATATGTTATGAGGAGAGGGAAGAATCTGGCTAGGAAATATTTACAACTGGTATCTGGCTTGTTTAAAAGAGCTAAATCTGGACTTGTGTCCAGGGAAACAGGTATCCATGTAACTTCTCATTTTCAGAGCTTCCACAGAGAAAAAAACTTTGAAAAAAGGTTTGACTCCAAAATCATAAGCTGAGTTAAATCAACCCTGCAGATGCAAAACAGTCAGATGGTGGGGAGGTGGCAAAAGATGGCAATTTGGGAGTGCATATGGCTAGGGAAGGAAGATCTGGCTGTAGATAAATAACTCTGCAGGCAAGTCTGGCAGCAGCAATGTGCACACAAACAGGCTCTTGACCACAGGAAAGCTTATGGGGAAAATTGCTTGAATTGTGTCTTAAGTCTACCATTTTATTCTATTTCAGAATTGTAAATTGTGTGACTACAGCTTCTTTTTGGATATATCATTAATTCAACTAGCTTGCTGCTGGTAAATCCCACTCCTTTCCTCTCTAGAGGGAAGTCTTTGTTTTTTTTCAAGTCCAC